ATTGATGAAGGTTCGATATGACTCTGAAGTTGCGAGAGAGAACGCAAAAAAGGCTGAAGAAGAAAAGATGAGGAAGGAGAAAGAAGAAGAAGAGCGAAGGTTGAAGGATAGGAAGGAGAGAGAATATTTTCATGCACAATTCAGTGCTACCATGAATGCCAGGTTCAACAATATCTGTGATTTGATGAAGGGTAAGAAGGATGCTGGTGTAAGCGCACTAGAGATTGAAGGCCTGAAGAAACAGATCGACAGTCTCCGGAGTACTCAGGCTCAAGCTCATGGAGGGGCCAGTACTTCGACCGTCAAGCGCAATCAGGATGATGCAATTGCTTTATTAATGAAGGAACAAGAAGAGTTGAAGGCAAAAATGGATTTGACTGCTGGGGTGCAAAARAAGATGGAGTTGATGGAAGTTGAGATCCGCTCTCTTAAGCTTATGCATGAGAATGTTGTTCAAGAGGCTGATACCTGGAAATGGGAGGCTCTACGTTCAGGGAACAAACGCAGTCATATTGCTTTGTCACCCTCCGCCAAGAGTGGAATGCAGGTTACCCCGGCGTCCGTTGCAGGGAAACGTGCTCTGGGGGATCCAAGCCGATTGTGGAACTGCACAATCTATAGGTCAACACTTTGAAGGAATTAAGGTTGCAAGAATTGAATCGTCGAAGGGAAGCAGAACAGCAACTTGCCGAGATGAAAGAGAAGTTGTCGAAATTGGAAACGGAGAACTAGACTCCACGTTCTAATTTTCGAGAAAGATTGGATGAGGCTGGACGTCCCACCGAAGGAYGTACGGGTAAAGGAAAGAAGAAGCCGAGTGATCCGCTGACGGGAACCAAAGAAGTGCAGCGTGAAGCATTCATGAAGGAAGCCAGAAAGGAGTTTCGGAACATGAAGAAGGACGACGTCGTTGCTATTTGTGAAAAGGAAGGCATCAAGTATTCTACTTTGCACGAGACTTTTGCGGAGATTATTGCCAAACGTGCTGATGCTGCATTCCCTAATGATAAGGGTAAGTCTGTTTTCATTGAAGAGATTTCTGATGACGTCTGCGGGAAGGGCGGGGGAGGAGAAGCCAATGATGAGAGGGATTCAGCTGTTTCGTAGGTTCCCTCCCGGACGTGACTAGTCTATGGTCTGTTGCTATGTCTTGTGCTTTAATCCGGTATCTGTCACCTCGTCTTCTACGTGATAAGTTTCTGGATTCTTTCTTTCGGATTGTTGTCATCGGTCTTATCCTTCATGGTGCAATTCCCTGGGCTTCTAAACCGACTCCTTATCTGTCTGAATGGTGGAAGTCGAGTAATGCTGGTAATGATTCGGGCGGATTGTTGGTGTATATCCTCATTTCTCCTTGTTGTCGTCACCTGTATGTTGGGAGCACCGGGCGCTGTCTTGACGTTCGATGGGCCGAGCACGTGTACAGAGCTAGTAGTCAAGATTTGGTGGTTAAAGGGCTACGTAATGAGAGGTTGTATCGATGGATGAGGAGGAGTGGGGTTCACCAGTATGCTGCCCTCCCGATTTGTAAATGTCCCGAGAGTGATCTGTTGAGAATTGAAAATTTTTTTATTCACCGTTTTTCTCCGGAYTTGAACTCCCGTGACCAACCAAGAAAGTGTAGAAGTCGCGGTCCGGGGAAGAGAGAGAGGAGGAAAAAGTGGAGGAGGTCAACGRTTTTGACCAGTCCGTCCTTTTCTAAACATGRGTTTCTACGCTTCCACTCGCCTGTTCGTATTGTTTCCACTAGTTTGCTTCATATTCTGAACTATTGTCGAGATAATCGGATATGTAGGATTATAGTTAGTTGTCTTGGTGGTCCTCTTCTTGTGGATGACTGGAAAGTTTTGAAACGGTGTTTTGGATCTTCTATAGTTTCTTGTCTTTTTGGTCGTGACCAACTTCGAGCTTCTCATGGCTGGCTGGCCGATGGGGTGATATTGACCTTTCAATCTATTGTTCCTTACTGTTTTAAGTCTCTTGCTTTTAAACCTCTTTTCTTCTCTGTAATCCCTCTTCCAGGTCTGAATTGCGCGAGTGGGAGTTTTGCAGATTGGTTTTTGTTTTTTCTGCTATTCGGTGTTTCCAAGAGAAACGGACAAGGGGGAGATTGAGGGTCATTCTCTCGAGGGTTATTTTGGCACGGTTTGGTGTATCTGTTCGGCAACGTTTAGTTGTTCGCATTTTGTTCGATGATCGGTTTTGTAAAAGTGCAATTCGTAAGGTCTGTGCTGGCATTGTTCGAAATCTTCACCATGACTCGGCATGGAAGGAGCTGCTTATTCGAAGGATGCGTATAGTTTGGTGCAAGAACAAAACCGTAGGTGATCTGATCCACAATTTTCGGAGTTGTGCTCGAGAAGGAAATTATGTCTGTAATTGTGTTGACTGCGATGCRGTCTTTCTCCGTGTGGAAGGACATGTGTCCTTTCGTCTGAGCTCTATCAATCTTTTCCCGGACTATATGAAGAATTCTAAAAATGTTTTCAAACCTTCTGTTGGGAATCATGTATCTGGTTTTCGTCGACAGATTGTTAAGGCCTTCAACTCATGTGGGTTTCTTCCATCTATTGGTGCGAATGAGGTTGATGATCTTTCAGGTTGTGTAACCATTGTTTCCTCTGGATCTGTTAGTCTATCTGATGAGGTGCGGTATCATCRTGATCGAATTGGTAATTTGGTGTGTTCCTCCATCGACCACAATTTGAGGGACACGTTGGTTTGTTGTCCATTGCTATATGGTCGAGGGATGAAGAAGYTGTTTTTGGAAAATTCGTCTTTTGTTAGAATTAYGCAAAGTGAGGWGTCTGTRGATGAACGGTGTGGTGATGAATTTCAGAAAAAGTCTTTTCAGAAGATCGGTCGTTGGGCCAAGAACGGTTCGTTTGGTCGAGCCTATTGTTTACCCAAACATAAGGATATATCTCGGTGGCGTCCCATTTGTCCGTCGTACCCTGAAGGTGTTGTATAAGCTAGTCGAAGGGTCTCTCGTGCGGTAAACTTRATGTTATGGAAATTGCCCTCTTYCTCTCATTTTAATTTACGTTGTACTTTAGATCTCGTTCCCGGTATTCAGTAGATGAATGATCTGTTGGGTGAGAAGGAGGAGGTTATCGACGGCTCCTTTGAMGTCAAAGAAATGTTYTCTAACTTACCACACGATTCTATTCTGCGTGCTCKACGMTGGGCTATTGAGTTTYGGGACAGCAAAGGCTTTGTTGGAGTCATGGTCCGGGAACAGGGGAAGCTTGTTAAGTTAACTAAGGGAAGGTGCGAGGATGGCTGGATCCTATTGAAATTCTCCGTCATTTTCTCCTTCGTCAAATTTGAACTTAGCAACGCTTTCATCGTCGCGTCCAGAATTCTACTGCAGCAAATTGTTGGGATTCCTATGGGGAAGTCAACCAGTCCTGCGCTGGCATGTTTGCTTTGCGCTTTCAACGAGTGTATATTCCTTTCGTCACTGGGTGCGGACCGGAATTTGGTTCGCGGATTCCGTATTGTGGACGACTTCTCTCTGTTTGTACGTTTCCGCAAAGACTGCGAACAATCCAAGTTGAAGGCCAATAAAATTTTTCGGCAGTTTCAATATTGTTATGATACCAATTTGGTTCTTGAGAGGACAAGTGAAGGCGACTGCTGGGATTTCGTTGTTGTGTATTGAAGATTGTGAAGAATCCCTATAAATCGATGTGCGTGGCTGTTCACAAAAATCAAAGGGCTGAGATCAATGACCCTCTGACTTTCCAGAGTATTTATGACTATTCTTTTTCCAGCAGACAAAAAAAAAATGGCGGTTATTATTTCTTTTTTTCGTCGTGCTCGATCTTTCACTRCTGATCCGGGTCTGGAAGTTGCTTTTTTGTTCACCCTTAAAGTTGACTTGTGGAAACGTGGCTATCCGGATCACTTTTTTGACAATGCCCTCGTGTTCTTTTCTACTAAGTTATGTGGCTGTTGGGACCACTCGCTTCCTTTTCTCACACAATGGAGTCGTATTTTGTTCTGAATAGAGGACTTGGGTGTTGAATGAAGGACCTGTGGTTCCGAGCAGGATTGATTGGCTTTGAGTTGATGCTCTGTGGTTTCGAGCAGAAGACTGGGTTAAGGATTTGAGCAGGGGACCTTTTTGCTTCCTGTCATTTTTAGCCGTGGCATTTTTTGGACAGGTTTCGATCTGATGATTCGTGGTTCTATACTAGTTGTGTAGTTTGCGGAGGTCAATTTCGTTTCTAAGGGGGACGGAATCTTCCTGATCTTTTATGGTGCCCTGAAATTCGTTTTTGAATGGATTCTCCCGAGGTTTTTTGAAAGATGAATTTTCGCTACGAATGGACCGGAAGGTACCAGTCCCGAGGGCTTGGATATTTACGACTAGAATCTGGAGGGGTTTGACGTTCGGTGTAGTTCTCCAACTTCTAGCCTGAGTGGTTTCTACCTAGGACTAGAATGCTCCTTCAGTGGTCCTCGTTAGACCTACACAGGTATATAAAGAGGTTGTTGTTTTCGAACAGTACCTCCGCGACTCAAAGACCCGTGAGGAGTGCTGTATGGCGGACAGCCGAAACGTCGGGTCCACGCCGCCTGAGCTTCATGTTAATTTTTCGTTTTAAGTCGCGTTCGGGAGATTTTGTATACACGCGTACGGTTTCCTTCTCCTTTTCTTCCTTCCTTATTCTCCCCTCCCGTTTCTGTCTGCCCTTCGTCAGTGCGGATTTGATTGTTGGGTCTCTTCGCATTGTGCTTTTATCAGGTCACGCAGCTTAATGATGGCTGTATCTGCACTCGCCGCACCACTCCCAGAGAATATGTAAAATGATAACGTATTATTTGGTAGAACTGGGGAAGATACCTTTGGACGTACTTCTATCTTTTTCGCCTTCTGGTGACACGTGTGCCGAGGACGTATGCAAGCTGATCGATCATGAAGATCACCATGAAGATGGACATGGCTCAACATATTTCATGTTTGGCTAGTAGTTTGCCGGCGTCAGGACCTAAGTGGGCACACTATTAAACTGTTGAAACACAAACCCGAGTCCGAACGCTGATGATGGAGCCTCTCAGCGTGATGAGTAAAACCAAGTACTACTCTTTTTTTTCTTTTTTTTTTCTTTTTTCTTTTTCGGAAGCTTGTAACTTCTATTTTAAACTTGGCACCCGCTACCCAAGAGATAGACCACTGGATCCCCCGATCGGCATCAAGCAGAGTCTGCTATGTTCGTAGGGGAGGGGCTTGAGGGAAGGCACGGGGGATTGGTCCGCTTTATCCCTGGTGCTACCGGCCGTCCCCTGGCAGGTACCATGCAGGCTCGGGGGGCCGTATCATGCAGGCTCGAGGGGCCAGAAAAACACGGCTCTGGTATGCTACGGGTTTCCCATATGTCTATAGGTAGGAGTAGTGGTAGGTAGGTAGTGTGAGGAAAAAATTGAGAGAAGAGTATAGTTAAAAAAAAAGAAAAAGAAAAAAAAAAAGCCAAAGGTACCCCAAGAGTCTAGCTCAGTGGGTACACCCATGATTTGTTGAAATACAGACCTATGTTCGAATCCCGATGATAATACTTGACGAGTAAAACCAACTACTAATGAATTGCTTGGGGCCGGTCAGCCTCAATGTTTGATGGGGCTTGTCGACACTCCTCGGGGCTTCCTCGGGCCCCGAGGACGATTCCTCGGAGTCGTTGGGGGATTTCGACGCCTTCGTTCCACTCATCCTCGGAGTCCGCCCTCGAGGACGATTCCTCGGGGCTCCCGCGGCCAGATTTATATACGTATTAGCGGCCGCAGGATGTGTGTACCATGGCCTGTCTTCAATTGTGTCCGTCTAGATTGGCGTGGTCCAGCTTTTTGGGCCGCCGTGCAATAAATGACGTCGTTCAGGAAAAAAAATTAAGGCCTTCGAGAAGGCGCGCAAGGGAGGAATTCAAAATTTGAAAATTCGAAATTTGCGCGTGCGAGTGGAGGCGGGCGACGGACGTCAGCCGTGCGGATTAGGGCGCGGGGGGGTGGCGGTCGTGGGCGTGTCCATATGAGACGTCAGGTTGAGCGCCTTCGACTGTAGAGTATGCGCATGCCTTCAAGTGTACGACCATACATTGTTGGCGTTTAAGGTCACCATCGTCGTAGCTTGTCGCCGTCCGCAGTGGTGGCGTCCACATTGTTTTAGCGACGCGGGATATCGTCGTTCCACGTGGCTGTGTGTGCGGAGTTTTGGCGGTTGTTGTCAGTTTGCTGTCGTGGATGGAAGAGGCGTTAGGGATGGTTATTGATAGCGGTGTCCGGGGTGGTGTATTGACGACATATGAGAGGACAGTTGTCGCTGCGGCCGTCAATGTCGTCCTCTATCATTGTGAAGTGGAGAGAACCGCGGGAAAGATGAAAGCAGCTGTTCGTGCGCGACGGAAGGTGACGGCACTGCCGAGCAGCGGTGAAGGCTTGGACTTGGGTGCAGTTTCCGACGCCATCCTCCAGGTGTGCTACGCGATGGGGAGCGGCGCATTTTCGAGGGCGACTCCACGATTGGTGGATGAAGCGGCGGACGGGAGGCACCTGGGAGGTCCTGCGGCAATGCGAGGACGCCACCGACGAGTACTTCAGAGACAAGCTCCGAATGTCACCACGTGTCGTCCGCGAAATCGCCAAAACGCTTTCTCCATACCTGCAACGGCGTGTGACGTTTTACAGGGTGCCTCTGCAGCCTGACCACATTGTGGCGTACGCTCTCTACACGTGGGCGTCGGGTGAGACATACGACAGCGGAACGTGCAGATTCGGCATCGGGAGGGCTTTTGGCATCACAGTGGTACGAGACGTTACTGCCGCCTTGCTTGCTGTGTACCCGGACAAGATTTCGTGGCCCACTCGCTTGCAGAAGGCGGTCGTGTTGCGCGCGTTCGCAGACAAGGGCTTTCCAAATTGCCATGGGTGCATCGACTGCACCCACATCTACGTCGACAAACCGGCCAACGCAAACGGGGAGGACTACTGTGATCGGAAGAGGCGATTCTCTGTGCAGGCGCAGGTTGTGGTCGACATGAATTTGCGTGTACTGGACGTCTTCGTGGGTTACCTTGGCAGCGTGCATGACATGAGGATGTTACATCTGTCCAGTTTGTGGGAGCGCGCGGAGTCTGGACAACTTTTCACTGACCCGCATGCCATGCTGCCATTCGCTGTCCGAACGAATGGATACTTGCTGGATGACAATGGCTATCCCCAGTCGGAATGGATTGTCATCCCTTATGGAGGTCTCGTGCAGCACCCCACGGAGGCACGGTTCGACAACAAGCAGAAAACGGCGAGGGGAGCGGTGGAGAGGGCGTTTGGAAGATTGAAGGGCATGTGGAGGTTGTTCCTGCGCACGCAGAAGTGCAACATGGACACGTTGTCGTAACAGTTCATTGTTGTGTGCATCCTCCATAACATATTGATCGACGCAGGCATTCCCTTCGACGGCAATCTTTTGTGGGAGGTCGGACCGGATGGCGTCCGACGCAGGGTGGATCTCGTTATGCATATGCCGCTGCGTCCTGTTTGCATGGAGTCGTCAACCGGTGACGCGCTGATTCTAAGGGATGCGTTGGCGGAGAGGATGGGTGCGCAGTGAGGATGGGTGGTTGTGGAAGTGGAGAGTCGAAGAGGGTCGAAATGCGGTGAGATATCAGAGCAGACTGAAGCGGGGAGGCACCGAAGAGATGATGCGTAAGGAACAATGAGGAGGTACGCCCTCCCGTGTCCATTGGAGGTGCTTAGCGTAGACGGTAAAGAGGCCCTCCGAGTTTGCTGCCGTCCATAAGTTGTTTGGTCGTCGTCAAGCACAATGTGCTTTCTTCCTCGAGGGTGTTCAAAGCACTCATCCGCCAGGTTGTCGTCTTCCTGTTCGCGTGTCGCAGTCGTGTCGTGGATGGTTGGTCATCAGTGTCATTTTTGGTACTACACGATTTTAACATTGTCGTCATTTATGGACCTATGTTGTTTTCCCAGTGCAAGTGGTTGCGCAAACCTTCGACGAAGTTACTGTGATTCGTTTTCATAGTGATCATCACCGTGCGAAAGTCGTTGATGGTGTTCCGCAAAGTAGTGTAGAAGACGTAAGTAGGTGGTAGGTTGAATGACGTGAAGTCGTGGGCTATGCAGTCGGGGCCGGTGAGGGGTGAGGGGGGGTGGAATGAACGGCGTTTGAGCTGCAATCCGCTTTTCATTTAACTTTTGTTATTGAAGTCCTTCGAAGGCTTCCCCTTTATTTGATGATCTTCTTTCGTTGAGTTGTCTTTCGATGTCGAATGCAGTCTTCATTTTGCAATGTTTTTTCGTTCACTAAGTTGTTATAAGCTTGTCAGACGTTTTTGCGCTTAGGCCAACTTGTGTGTGTCCGTGTGTGTGTGTGTGTGTGTGTGTGTGTGTGTGTGTGTGT